TGGGCCCCCCCATGAAAATTTCATATTTTCACACTAGAATTGTAGGATGGGAGAGTGAAAGGGAAAAATCACCTACTTAAATGCTAGTTAATAAAGACTTTGTTCCTAATACTTTTTTGCTTATATTTTTCTATCACTGCCAAGTTCTATTTTCCAACTCATAAAATTGATAGTGCCATCAAGTCACTCTCCATGGGCTTTGAGGGGAGCAATAATGAGCAATGTCTGCCTTCTCCTCTCACCCAAATTAAGAGTGTCGGCATTGAATTTGGCCGTTCTTCATAAAAAATTTTTTAAGTTTTTATTTTTAACATGTAATTCTTAAGCATTTATTTTGACTCTCTCTCTCTCTCTCTCGCTCTCGCTCTCGCTCTCGCTCTCTATTAATTCAGTCCTCAGGGTCATCGCTCTGACTACCTCCACCCTGCCCATTCGGGCCTGAATTTCCAAGTCCTCATTGTACAATGTGCAGACTCTAAACCAGTGCAACAACCCCTCTCATCTCCTACTATGGCATCTCCCTCCACTCATCCACTCACTGATAACAATGTCACTGTCCTGCTCAAAGTCCCAGTTAACAACTACCCATGCCCTTTGCATGAGATGCAACATCTTCAGGGTGGCATTCACGACCCTCCGCAATCAATTTCTACCTAACTTTGAAGCTGAACCACCACCACTGTTCTGAACAAATCTCCCACTGGTACCAAAACAGACTTCATTGTCCCCAAAACTACACCTGTGCCTTTCTCTATCCACAACTTTGGATGATATCTTCACTCCACCTCAGGTGCCTCTTCCTATACCACATGCCACACACCAAATTTCCAAAATCTATCTAAATAGCAATCTCTGTGTGTCTTCTTTCTGTCTGTCTGCCTCTGTGTCGATGCTAGTGACATTCTGTGTGTAGCACTTAAGTGATATTCATCACACAATATCTTATTTTGTACACATTTCTGTCTCTGCATCATGTCCCTAAGTAGATGCCACAGGATAGGACCATATCTTAAATACCTGGTCTCTCCCGTGTTAGTTAGCATGGTGATGGCACAGAGGAAGTGGGGTTAATGAAAAGTGAATAAGCAAATAATGCATTTCTTGAGCCACATAATTGTACTGAAGATGACAGAGCCTGGAGTCAAGCAGGGTTGAGAATTAATGAGGGGTGAAAGGAAAGCAGTTTATTTTTTCTACAGCTATAATCTCCATGGCATCAAGAGAGGAGAACCAGGCCAGGACCTCAAGAGCAACTGTACCTGTTTCAAAGAGTTGCCTGTTTCTAAGCTGGGCTACGTGTGTCCCCCCATCACTGAAACACAGGAAGAAATGATTAGAGATTTTATTTCCCACTGCTCTGAACACCTGCTTTAATGAAGCTGGAGTCTGCAAAAATGATATCTCCATCAAGGTGGCTCCTCATTAACTGTTTCATAACTGTCCACGTGACACTTTAAAATGGTCCACATAGAAAATGGCTCCCAGGCACCTGAGTGAGCAGCTGGCTGGTCCCCCTTATCAGAAGCTTTAGGTCCTGCTGACAAACCATTGTCAGCACTGTCTCGGGCCCCACAGCCAGGAGGTAAGCCAGTAAATGGCTGAGCCACAAGGCTGCCAGAACTTAGGGGGTGGGCAGCAGCCACACTGCATCTGCTATTAAACTTTTCCTGGGGGAAGACAACACAGGAGTTTAGTTGACTTCTATCTTTGCTTTTATCAAAGCAGTATAACTGTGACTAACATGTCCAGTTGCTTTGTGAGATCACCAAGAAGCCAAATCCACCATCAAGAGGGACACAGGACAAGGATGGCCCAACCCAACTCCTGAGTCCTTTTCAGAAATGGAGATTACCAAGAGAAGCCAGAAGGAGAGCAATGAATTAATGGGTAGGAGGCAGCAGTGTGCAGGGCAGCCTTGTTAAGTGGGGAAGGAAAATGGACAGTTAGCCCAGCTGCCAGAGCTCTCCAGAAGCAGGAGAATGTTGCTCCACCAGCCACCATGGAGGCTCACTGAATGCATATGGCGGACCAACCCTCCATTGATGGCAACCAAGGGAGTAGATGTTTGCCTGCACCTCCCTGCCTCTCTTCCTCATTCTCTCCTCTGATCTTCATCCCTTATCTTCCTTTCTGTCTCTCTTATTATGTCACAAAGGAAGATCCAAACTGTGTGTAGGGCAGGAGAGGGCAGATGTTATTTGAGGGTTAGAATTAAGTTCTCAAAGGAGAACATTTCAAGTCTGAGGAACAAGAACATATAAAGAACTTCTGAAATGCTCAGCACTATTTGCATCGGAGGAAGTAATTCTTATTAAAAATGAAAAGTCTGCTCTGGTGTGCCCTCAATTTACATATCATCTTTGTAAAAAAAAAAAAAAAATGGTTCACATTTACCAGAGAAATCAGCTGCTAAACCACTACTCTGTACTGACCACTCACCGCATAGAATCTAGAACCCAGCCAACAGCAGTTTGCTCAGTGTATGGTAGAACTAATAGGTGTCCCTGACACCATCCCTCAACATGCGGTTGTAGTGCCTGGAAAATCAGATTTGTTTTTGAGTCAGTAACATTGACTGGTTTGTGCCCGGCAATCTATATAATTGCCCAGATTCCTGGGGAGCTCCTTCTTAAAATATTCTGGGGAAATTTCAGCTACTACCCTCAAGCAATTTACCCTAAGTGAAGAGAAAATACACATTCACACATGGATTGATTAGAGCAGGAGAAAGAATCAACTTTGACTTGAGGTTTTCTAGGGTCTTGAACAAAAGTAATCAATATCATAGTTTAAAGAAAACGAAGTTTGAAAGTTGTTTTTTAAGGTTCTTTGGGTTTCGATCAATGCAGAGAAACCATTTCATTGGCAAGATTCCTTTGTTTATGATTTGAAATGAACATTATCCTATGAAAAGGAAATCATGAAGGATCCCATGCCTTTTCATGTTAGTATAAACAAATTACCAGCTGCTGTCCTGAAAGTTGGTCCTATCAAGGGAAAAGGTAAAAATGCAGAGCCCGTTATGAGGGGTGGGGAGGGGAGCATCTCGGCAGCACCACATTCTGTGAGTGGGAACCCGGGACTCAGGGAGATAAAGAAAATTGGCCCCTTGATAAGTTTGTGCTCCAAATCTCTGCTCTTATGGCTTACAAATAGCATTTAGATAATAGTAACAACAACTTGAGGCACTTAGTGAGTTTGTCCCTGGCTGTCCTCAGAGAGTCGCCAGAATCTCTCAGTGAGTTGCATATGACCAGAAGCAAGCCAAAGTACTTTCATAGTTCTAGAAACCAAATCAAGAAAGTGCCTGGTTTTCAAGGTTTACTAAGCTCTAAGGATCAGCTGCATTGTGATTCCTGGAAAAGACCAGGAAGGAGGAAAATGGTTCAGGGCTGCAGGAGGCTGGCCTGTCCCTGTGCACCCCATGGAGGAGGTAAGGGACCATGGCCTCTCAGAAATGGGAAGGGAATGAGGGGAGATCTGGCTGCCGGCTTCCTGCTGCCTGCCAGCCGTGCCCTGGCTTCTCAGGGCTAGTAAGTGGGAGCTATGTGGTCTGGAAGCGGGAACCTCAATCTTTCCTGATGTTATTGATTTACAACATTGTTTTTAGGCATAAGTTTCAGGAAGTACAAAATGTCACATAGATGTGTTTTTCCTAAACTATGAGGTCAGAGCCAAGCCTGGACCCTGGGCATCTGCCATAGGTATAGCACAAGACTCCTGCCCCAGGCAGCTACCAAGTGCACTGACCTGGGTGTGTGACTATTGCAGCCACCACAAGCCCTCAGTCTACTGTGCTGTGCCCTCAATGCTGCTGAGATGCCTATCCCTGCACAGAAATACACAGGGGCACCAGCCTGTGAGCTGTGGTGCTGGAGGGGCACTTCAAACGCCTCCCAGCCCTGCTGGCCTGTGCCATGGCCCCTGAGCCGGGTTCTGCTTTTCTCTTAAACCACAGGCTGCATCCTGTCCCACCACACATCCCCTATTGTTCCAAGCCACTGGGCCTTGACTTCAACGGTGTTAGAATTTTCCAGAATTGCAGGGCAAACCTCTGTTAAGGTCAGAGAATGGGAAAGACAGGTGTCTCCACAGCGCATGGGACTACATTCTGAGAACAAAATGGATGGGCCCTGGAGGACTTAGAGAGAGGGGCATGTTTGGAGTGGAAGGTACAGGGGACCTGGCTCAGCGGCTCACCTGGCTCCTGTGTTCTGAGAGGCAGCCAAGCTCTCCTACAGGAAGGAGGAACAAGGGCAGGCCGGCCTCAGGCTTGTACCTTGTCTCCCCCTACACCATGGGCATGACAAATTGAGGGGTCTGCAGGGTGGGGACGGGCTCAGGACCCTTCCTTTGCCTTCACCCACTCCCAAACACAGCACATGCCCGTTAACTCACCTGTGGGTGAAGATGCAGTTGTTGATATGGAGGGCAGGGCAGGTGGCAGAATTTCTGGGGTAGAGCAAGTGATTGGCACACAGGGCTGTGGGCACTTTGCTCTTCCCTTGGAATCTCACAGCTGCCCAGCTGCCTCCTGCTTCAGACTGGGCTGGCCCTGTGTCATTTCTTTAGTGGCAGGTCACCATCCTATCTCCGTCATGCCCATCTTTCCCCAAGGCTCTCCTACACAAAAGTGGGAGAGCTTCAAGCTTCCCATTTCCCATGAGATAAATTATCAGCAGCTCATATGCAGCCATTTGGAAAAATCTCAAGGGCGACCATGCTGATCTTGGCTTCAGAGGCCAGTAGACATCTCAGAGTGAAAACTGTGAGCCCGGCTGCTTTCCGGGGATGCAGCATGAAAGCTACACAGGGATGAGGTGAGATCTCGCAGGAGGCACCTTCTGTCACTCACACAAACCCCATGACATAGCAAACCTTCTCTGCATGCCAGCCTGGTAAACATCGAGGCTGCTGCTAATGGGACAGTGGGCAAAGTCACCTGCAGCGGGTCTCCCTGTGAAGTCCAGGCTGTTCTGACCACTCTTTGTGTCCCCCAGGCTTGGACACCAGGCAGGCACAGGTCATCGTCCTGTCCTCTGGCACCAAGTGCATCAGTGGCGAGCACATCAGCGACCAGGGCCTGGTGGTCAATGACTGCCATGCGGAGATCGTGGCCAGGAGGGCCTTCCTTCACTTCCTGTACGCACAGCTGGAGCTGCACCTGAGGTACGGGGCCCTGGCTGGGCTGGTCGGACTCCAGGGGCTGGCTGCTCCTTGATGGGTGTGTTGGCACACCACTGCTGGTAAGCAGCCAGGGGAACAGAAGGGGGACCCAAAACCAGCTCAGAACACACTGCTCCCTTCATCCTGGCAGATTCCTTCCCAGGGTGCTCCACGAATCGTCCCCTTCTATTCAGACCTGAGGCACCCTTTGAGCACCAGCAAGATGCTGAGACACCAGGTCCCCTCCTCGTTACTCCGTGTCGCTCCCCAGGAAACCTGTTTGCCTACGAGTTGCATACACACATACTTCCACACAGCTGCCCCCACATGGACACACTCAGGGACACGCCCTGTCACAGCTCATTCCATTTGATTATTTCTTTTAAAACATGCAGGGGCTCATGACAATGTCCCCAAAACTCAACCTTCTTCATGAGGCTCGGATGCCACTACAGTCCAGGAAGCCACAGACACAGCCATGGCTTCATCTCACATGCAGTCCACGTTCAGTGAAGGTGTTTCTCCAGTGACATGCTGGGACTCTAAATGCCAATGGCATCAAGACAGGATCCAGCTCTAGGGACAGCTAGAGGAGCACAGAGGAGATCCCCAGTGCTGGCTTCATATGTGCCCTTAACTGCTTTTAATTGAAGGCAATACTCTTTCCACCACCAGCTTCCAGTTAGGTCCAGAATGAGCATTACAGGAAGGAAGGAAGGAAGGAAGGAAGGAAGGAAGGAAGGAAGGAAGGAGGGAAGGAAGGAAAAAACAAAGGGAAAGAATGAATTAACTATCTCTTGGGAGATGGGAGGTATTCCTCTCTCTAAAACCCATAGCTGTATTGACTAAACTAAAGGTGTGTTCCCTTACTGTGTGAGGTGACTTGGATCAATGTGCCTGCTGTCTGATAAATTTTCAATTCAGCCATGGAAATGTGCCAGGTTGGAGGCCACCTTTCTGCTCATTTTTGACAAGATTGTATCCACCTTGAATGGGGCCCACAGGGCAGGATTTCCATGGGAAGGAGTGCCATCCCCTCCCTGCTCAATCTTATCTTTAAAATTTCTCAGCCAGGGAAATTTCTTACAGAGTCCAGGTTTCTGTAAGAGTGGCCAAGGCTCAAACACTAGGCTCACAGATGGCTACCATTTTGTTTCCCAGGTGACAGGCTCCATTTCCACTGGACAAGTCCCAGGCAAGCAGCTCTTACATATGACAAGGTGGCCAGTCCCATGTTGGTGCACAGAACCTCCCAGCCCTTGTCCTGCTGGGTGAGGCCATCCTCTCCTGGCCTCATTTCTCCCTACACCCCCACATTCCCAAATGTGTTCAGTTCTCTAGACCTTGCCCTCAGGTAGTGGGACTAAAGTAACCAAGGTCGGGTTTTGAGACGTTACCTGTCTCATTACTCCACCTCCAAGTGCATTTTAATAAGGGCATTCTGAGAGGCCTCTGAGACCCCGAGAAATGTGCTCGGAGGTTGGAATTTTCAGTGTTCTCATGACAGCCTTCTCCATTCATCAGGAAAAGGCAGACTGTCACCTGGGCTGGCATCTCTCTCTAAGACACATTAAACAGGAGTAGAGATGCAGGTGATCCGAGCGCATGTCTCGGATGCATGCCTGCACTGAGCTATTCGGTCACAGGGTTTGATGGCTGTGGGTCTCTTTGCCAGAATGTTCCTTCCTTGCATCCTCCAGCTGCCCTTCTATAGCCTTTGAAGCAGTGTTCCTCAAATCCACTAATAATGGGATCTCAGGGGGGCTCTGTGAGCGACTCATCATGCCCATTAGCATGTGCAGCAGCCACACAAAGGGAAGAAAGGCCCGAGTATATGCCAAACAGACTCAAATAAAAGCAATACCTTAATACACTCAATTAATTTTTATCTGAGCCTCTGAGCAGTGCACAGAAGCCTGATATATTGCCCCATCGGTTCCAGGAGGCCCGCCCAGGCGCGGCTGGAGTTGAACGTAAGGGAACAGAGTTGGAAATCTCTCAAAATGCAGAAAAGGATTTCTCCTGAATATCCAACTGCTCAGTTGGAAATATTTCCAAGTACCCTTTCCTCCAGTTTGTGTAGTGGGAGGGAATCAGGCCAAGATCTGCCAGGAGCTGGCTGCATGCCCAGCACTGTGCTGCCAGCTTGTGGGGTGGGGGCTCAAAGACAATGTCTCCCATCCCTGCCCTGCATGGGGGCACCAGTAATGGCTATGAAAAGCTAGCTATAGGGAATGAGGTTTGAGCCCCTTGGCACACTGGGCACGTTGGTCCCCAGGACCCCTGGAGGAGCTCACTTGGGCAGAGGGAGGGTGGGTGGTGGCCAAGGAGTAAAAGGCACAGCAGCAGGAAGGCTGGTAAGGCGCCTCCCAAGTTTCCTGGGGAGAAAATGTCTGTTCTGCTGCCTGTGAGATCTTAGGGCCCAGCAACACAGAATCCATCACCAATGGGGCAGAACGTGTGAAAACAGCCAGACTGGCAGAAAGGAGGCTGCAAGAAACCAGGGAGAAGAAAATCCAGGAGAAGAAATGCAGCCACGTTGATGCAGTGCCCAGGCTGGGGTCTCCCCACCTCAGCGGAGGCAGGGGGCCTCTCACATTAGAGTTTAAAAGCTACAGGAGAGGTTTCCAGGAGTAACAAGCCAGAATTCCTCCAAGATGAGGCAGTTTAGGTTTGTCCAGATGCACCCCAGGAAGAGTCTGTCCTGGTTGCCATTTCTATCTAGCCCTGCTGGGGGCCGAACCCCAGCCCCCTTTTTTAAAATCCCTTTTCTGCCTTTAATGCTCACATGTGTTGCCCACCAGGACCAACAAGTCTACAGTCCTGCCAGACATTGCCAAGAGGAGCCTTTGTGAGCCTGCAGGATTAGGGCTTTATAAACTGTAGATGCTGCCTCTGCGTAAGATAAACCTGAAATGTAAATGCTAAGACAGTGAGGATGGCGGGATTTCTGCAGCTTGTTTGCTTTCACGTGGTTTCCCCGCAGCCTCTCTCGGAAGGGTCTGTGCAAGGAGCAAACACAGTGTGGGGTGCAGAGAAGAAAAAAAAAAATAGGAGCAACTCTACCAAACAGGACAAAAGCCTCGGCCTGGTTGGAATGTTTCTGGTTTGGTTTGTAATAAATGACCCAGATCCTCTTCTTGTCCCCAGCAAGCGACGAGAGGACTCGGAGCGATCGATATTTGTGCGTTTAAAGGAGGGAGGCTACAGGCTTCGAGAAAATATTCTCTTCCATCTCTATGTGAGCACGTCCCCCTGTGGAGACGCGAGACTCAACTCTCCCTATGAAATCACCACAGACCGTAAGAGACAACATATTTGCCTTTTGTAAACAAACACCGCCAGGCTCCCCTGTTTCTGGACTCTGTCCCAGGCTGCCTTGGCCCCGGACTGTGTGTGTGTGTGTGTGTGTGTGTGTGTGTATGTGTGTGTCTGTGTGTGTGAGATGGCCACTGCTCTGGGATGCTGGAAGAGGATTCAGCTGCAATTAGCTAGATAATCATACCTCCAAAATCTTTGCCTGAAATGCCCAGATCATTGGCAGAAAAGTAGTTTGAAGCCTAAAATTAGCTTTTCAATTGCCATAGTTCTCTGCTTCATTTTAATAGGTCACACCGTCCCTGTGTCCCAAACTGGAAAATGGAATGAAGGAGAAGGCAAATGAGAATTACACGGGGTGGAAAGCAAATTCAAACTGGCTCTGTTTTCCTTTGTTTGCAACTTTGAGGAGAATAAAGTTCCACTTTGGGAACAAAGTCATGGTGAGGGATGCCCTCCCAAAGGGTTGCCCCAGGTTAGCCTCAAAGTTTTGCAGGACCAGCCCCTCCGTTCTCATCAGTGGAAGAGGGACATCATGTGCCCTTTGCCCCTCCTATCATCTGCAAAGAGAGGGGACACTGTGTTTCAGCATTGGAGGACAGGCACAGCTCCACTCTGTGGGACACTGGTATCTCCATTCTAGAGAAAGTGTCAGGGCTCACATCTCCACCCTTAAATGCTTTTATGAAATTCTATGACTGGGCCACACTCTTCCAAACTCTTTCTAGAAGCAGCCCTAGGAGAATCTCCTGATGTAGGCAATGAAATTAATTATGTATATATGTATTCCTACCACCCCAATATAATCACAGTTAACATTTTTATCCCAGCTAAATAAAATATGAAAATAATATAAAATTTTTTAAATATTTTAAGCACAAAAAAAGTGTATTTGAAGAGGGATCTAAGAAAGATACTGAAACATAAAAAGTATATTCTATAGTCAGAAGAAATTTCCAGTAGAAACTCAATGGATGATGCACAAAGGTTTGGTTTTGGCCTTCTGGTTTTCCTTGCATGGAAGGCTGCATATTCTAATTACCAAACTCAGGAAAAATAAACATTTATTGAGTACCTGCCGTGTGGTAGGCCTGTGGAAAGTACCACTACTAAAGATAAAGAGTGGGAGAGAAGGTATCCAAAATCTACATGTGCTTGGCCTATTTCTCTAGCCTGCAGCCTGGAAGCTGGACCAGAGAAATACATTCTCCTTTTGCAGACTCTACTCCAGCCCCATCAGTTCCCCTTTGGAGAGTAGTTGGGTGGGATTCTTCATAATGAGATTCTAAGTGACCTTTCCACATCCTTTGGAAAGCAAATGGGAGAACCAAGTGGAATTGAGAATCAGAAAAGGTGACCCATTAAATATCAGAGAACTTTAAAGGAACTGTCCCCAGGAGGCTGAGAGGGCTGGGGTGGCTTAGGCAATGTGAGACAAAGACACCGGGCCCTCTCAGAGGAAGCAGGCACAGCACAGGCTGGGTGAGACCACAGAGGACATGGCTTTACTAATGTGCAGCTTTCAGAAAGAGACAGACAGGAAAACAACATGGAGCTGATTTATTTCCCTGGGAAATGCCCATTATGCTGGATGTACATGATTACCAACTTGCTCTATAAGTAAAATTGTGAAATTTGGTTCATATCCCAATAGTCAGCTACTAGGAATTATCTTTCCACTTTTTATCAAAATGTTTGGCATCATGAAGATCCAACATAGGAAGCCCTCAGACCGTAGAAGGAAAAGTTCATGAGACATTTGCGGCTGGCTCTAATTTATTCAGCTTCTTCTGTGGCCCATGTGTCCCCAGTGGAGTCAGGAGAGGGCTGAATGAGGATGGCAAGAACTTCATCCACCACGCCTGAGACCTCCTGGTCTCCCTGGGGGACAGTTCCAGCTCATTGAGTTTCCTGTGTCTCTGTACATCAAACACCGACTGTGGCCTCACAGCCCTCATTCCAACTTGCAATGCCAGTGGTTTAGAAAAACAAACAAATACATTCTCGGAGGCACCCTGGGGTTCACTTCCAGCCACAGATGTCTTTTATTTCATGGTGCTTTTAAGAAGTGGCAGGTGCTGCTAGGAGAAAAACTAAAGCGTTTTCCTCACATTTGGGCTGTAGATATGCCAGGCCAAAAGGAGCTGCTACTGCCTGGGTTATGCCTCTAAATTAGGTTGCTGCCTCCTGACTGTCCCCACTGGGGCAGGTGCAGAAGGCAGGCCCTTAGCCAGATGCCACATGTTGTTCTTCCCTATTCGCTCAGTAAAGACAAGAAAACCCAAATGCCTGCATTCCTCTGTTCAGGAAGAGTCTTTAAGTTCAGCATTGCTCACAGCTCCTGAGGCAAGCAGAAACTCTCAGGAACGAATTCCACAATTTCCACTTTAGAGAAACTCACTAAGAACTGCTTTGTAATAAGAGGGTTGGGCAGCTCTCCATGTTGCTGGCTCACCCAGTGTTTTCCATTGCTACCCTTTAAGGAGGTTAGACCACTGGAGAAGGGAATGTAAGTGATGGGGTCTTTGCTTTGAGGGGCTCCTGCCAGGGAGGCAGTCACTGGTGGCAAGCCCCCTGCAGGAAGACTTGCACACAGACGCTGGGAAAACTCCAGTTAGGACTAGTCCCTGAGGAGTTAGCAGCCAGCACCTTCTACCCTACAGATTAACCTGAAGAACCCTCAGCCTCACACCACTGCTCAGAGGGATCCAGACTCCTAGATGAAGCCCTGGGAACCACACTGTCCCCTGGCTGTCACTGTGGCTTCATATGCTCACAGACACAGAAACTGAAGAGCACAGACAGGTTCTGACAGTTCTGCTGAGTACCTAATCCAGGCTCTAAGAAGCTCATGCCAAAGCAAAGGAAGCTCTAACCTTGAGTCCTGTCGACCTGCAGCTGGGCTATGATCCCCCCGCCCCTGCCTCTCCTTCTCTGGCTCATGTGCATGAGCACAGATGCACAAACATACATGCACAAGTATGTGCACACAAGTATGTGTAGGCCTGTGGAAAGTACCACTACTAAAGATAACAGGTTCTGAAGCACCCAAATCAAAAAATATCTAGAGCTTGACTATGTCTAAGAGAAGCTCAGGAGCTTGAACAGGTGGTCTGGATTGTTCCCCCTTCCCTTTAATGATTGAAGGGACACAGAACAGAGCATAATAAGAAAGTTTTCTGTCAAGTTTGTTTCTTGCAGGCTTAGTGGAGAGGTCTCTGAGGAAGGATGGAATGGCAGAGTACCTGCAAAGGCTAACAAAGCTCTGTGGCAGGACTCCACCATGCAACAGCGTGGGCAGGTGAAAAAGGCTTTTCCTGATGTGTTGCATGCACTGTAAAGGAAAAGTTGTTCCCGAGACAGCTTCTGCAAACTAAGGACTCTGATCTCACCCAAGGCATAGCTTCTCAATCTCAGGCCATTCAAAATTGCTAAGTGCTATGACTTCCTCCTGGACCTAGAGGGCCGATAAGTCCAGGTGGAGAAAAATACCTAAAGATGTTCCTTTGCACAACCAGGAGAACTGTGCTGTTTGGGATTTTGTTTGTTTTTATTTACAAGGTCAGAATCAGGACTCTGAACACTTCTCTTGAGGATTGGGGGTACCAACTGCCACCAAGGAGAGACAAGATTCCCTCCATACTCACAGGACACAATGCCATTTCTCAGTACCTTGGAGGCCTGAGTTAGAGCTGAGCAGTTCTTATAAGATCCTCAATGTAAGACTAGAAGGATCCAGGGCACCTCACTGTGGCTGAGCAAATTTTGTCCCCCTCCCAAATCACCAATCCCCTCACTGCAACGTTCTTCCCTCTTAGAATGACTTTTAAATCACCTGGTAAATTCAGTTCTTATGACCATTTTCCAAGAATTTAACAGATTAAATTTTCCAAACTATCTCCCACAAGATGCCTTGAAAAAGAGCAGGATTACATCTTCCATTTATCTGCCAAGGTATGCTAAGTGCCTAGCATGTTCACGCCAAGCCAGTTCCACTCATTATAGAAGAGCAGATGAGGAGGGTGAACCAAAATCCCGTAGGAAGTCAGGAAATCTAAAGTACAGTTCCTTAAATTCCTTTCTTCAGACATCCTACTGAGTTATGGAAATGTGCAGTATATAATAGTTGTTCATTGCACAATAATGGATTTAAATAGTCTCATAATTTGACATCATCACTACCATCGTCATCATCAAATGATGACAAAGGTCACCTACATGACCACGTGGCAATTATTACAGGTTTTATTATTACAAAAAGTAGTGGATTGCTTCACAGATATATTTTCTGCAATATTGCTTTTGGAAACAGTTTGGAAATCTTTCATTTGATGTTTAAAAGTATTTTCTTTCTTTCTTATAACTTTATGGGGTTTTGCGGCTGGGGGGAGGTTGTTTTTTGGTTTTGCTTTGTCTCTGCCCCTGTGCCATGTTTGGTTTTTTTGTTTGTTTGTTTTTAGATAACTCCACTTGGAGGTCAATGTCTTAAATTGTCATTTTATTGTCACCTCCTTTAGATTCTCCCCTAAACATAAAATATTCACTTGAAGAAAAAAACTTAAAAACATATTACTAATCTACTTTGTCAATCCCAAAAGATAACAATTTTAGACTAATAAGCACTATAATGATGAGTCTGATGATTTGGAATATCAGAATTGGCCTAGAATGTTCTGATGCATTTGAAAGTAGCTCTGTGTGCCTGTCAGGCAAGGTGTTGACATTTCACACTTGCACTGTCCCGGGCACACCATCAATCCACCACAGGTGGTTTAAGTTCAGTCCCCAGCAGTGGCTGGGGGATTGACATTTCATTCTGCTTGAAGTGGCTTCTTCGGCTCCCTCCTACCTTTCACCATTAGCCAAGACAGAGGCAGGGGAACTGTCTCCCCAAGTCCACCAACCCTGACGCTCACCCTGGGACCAACGAGCCCGTGGGGGGCGTGTGCTACAGAAGGCGGCAGAGATGTGACTCCTCCCAGAATGAGCACTCTCGGGAAGCTCGTGCACCTGGCTCTTGAGGGACTCTAGCCTGAGATTCTGGGTTTCCTCCCAGAAACCAGTTGTTAATTCAAGCCAGGCCTCTTGTCGTCGTGACATTAAAGACGGTGAGAAGCCAGAAAGGCTTTGCAGTATGACAGGCAACTTTTGAGGTCTGGGAAATGATGCTGTAATTGAAGTATTAGGAGACTGTGAAGACACCATGATTTACAGAATTAGACATCAAGAACCACGTCCTCTGAAGTAACAGTGTAGAAACTGAGAGGTGCACCAGCTTCTCCATCTCCAATGCTGTCCACCACAGAGAGTCCACTGAGACCCCACCTGGATCGTGTAGATGTTCAGGTTAAACCAAGGTGCACGCAAGCATTTTTGAGTCATGTGAATCACTTTCTATTCAATTTGTCATCATCACCATCACCATCGTTCTCACTGCACCATCAGCATTACCTTTACCACCATCATGGTCATTGTTACTGTCACAATCATTATCATGCTCATAACCATCACCATCATCACAATCACCATCACTCTCATCACCATTATTGTCACCATCATCACCGTCATCATCACTGTGTCACTGTCATCATCACCACTATTACCACCATCACATCATTATCACCATCACCACAATCATCATCACCATCATCACAATCATCACAATCACCATCACCACCATTATTGCCACCATCACCATCATTATCACCATCACCACAATCATCACAATCACCATCATCACCATTATCCTCACCATCATCACCAATATCACCATCATCACCACTATCATCACCATCCTTGTCACCACTATCATCACCATTGCCACCTCCACACTCACTGCCACCATCCTCACCGTCTGATCACCAGTGCCATTTAATGCCATATAGAAGGAGTCTCCCCAGGCTGCACTTTTCTCCTTGGCTCCTCCTTCTGTAGATGACTCCCAGACAAATCCCAACTGGAGCTCACAAAGTAACTGGTTGGTTGCAGGATGAAAAAGTGATTTGAAACCTCTCAAAAGTTGACTCCCTTCTTGAGAGTCTTCCCAAAAGATAGCCTCTAGGTACGATGAAGTAAGAACTTCAGCTCTTGGAACTAATAAGAAAGTGCAGCGGAAATTACTTTAGTGTGTCATATTTTTAAAAAAAATGTCTTGACATTGCTCAGGGAACAATGACAAGACCAAAAAAAAACCTATTCACCACTTTAGTGCAAGTAAATGAGGAGAAAACTCCATCTACACAACTTCTGAAACTTCAATAGAAACTTCTTAGAGAAAGCATCTAATATCTATTCATGTCACTACAAGTATGTAAATGTTGGAATCACTAGGCTCTTTTATATATATTTAATGTGCAAAGCAGTTAACCATTTCTCTCATACAAAATAACCTAGACTTATATACAGAATTTTCTAGAGAAAGAAAAAAAAAAAACAGTGTAAAGCTTCTCTTGTTCTTGCTGGGAACTATCGGGATGTGGTATAATGTATGAAGGTGGATGTGTGTCAAGAGGGCCCTGGAAGGATAAGAACCCAGAACCTTGAGGCTCGTCATTTCTATGCCTAGAAAAGTCCCTACCCCATAGAGGCCTCCATAATAAGAGGTACTCAAGAGACACTGAGGCGCTCTGAGCTACACCCCACCCTGACACATGCCACCTCGTTTAATCCCCGTGGCCCGGGAGCAAGGTGATATGACTCTCCCCATGGCAAGAGGAAGTAACCACGTTGTAGAATGTAATTCACTTTCCCAAGTTTACATAGCTCACCACCCGTTTCTACATGTCCCCAAAGCTAAGCACGTTCTCACAAATTTTTAATGGCTGGAAATGTGGAAGGAATAATATGGCCATCCCCTGGTAACCATGGGGGATTGGTTCCAGGACCCCCCCTCCATGGGTACCAAAATCTGTGGATGCTCAAGTTCCTTATATCAAATGATGTTGTGTTTGTGTCTAATTTTTACACAACCTCACATCAGCTCTAAATCATCACTAGATTACTGACCCCTCCTAATGCAATGTTCGTGGTTTGTAAATGGCAGTTACACTGTGTTGCTCAGGGAACAATGACAAGAGAAAATGCTTGTGCCTGTTCAGTACAGTCAGGATTTTTTTTTTCCAGATTTTTTTGAACCTTGGTTGAATCCAGAGATGTAGAACCCGTGGATATGGAGGGTCAACAGTACTTCATGATGTGAAAGTCAGATGTTATAATTATATGTTCAAATTTCAGTGCCCATAAATCAAATGTTGGGAAACGCAGCCATGCTCATTCATGGCATGTGATCCAAGGCTGCCTGCACTTTATGCACCTTAGTAGCAGAGTTGGGTGGTGGTGGCAGAGACAGAATAGTGTTAGTCTCTGAGATGTTTGCTCTCTGCCCTTACAGGACAGTGGCTGACCCTTGCTAGCAGCATTGCTCTGAAGCCCATCTCTTTTTGTTGTTGCTGTTCTTTTTAGATACACATGACAGTAGAGTGATTTTTTTTTTTTTTTGGAGGGGAGAGTACTAGGGTTTGAACTCAGGGGCACTCAACCACTGAGCTACATCCCCAGCCTTATTTTGTATTTTATTTAGAGACCTGGTCTCACTGAATTGCTTAGTACCTCATTTCTGCTGAGACTGTCTTTGAACACTCAATTCTCCTGCCTCAGCCTCCTGAGCTGCTGACATTACAGGCATGTGCCACCGAGCTCAGCCAGTAGAGTGTATTTTGACATATTATACACACATAAAATATAACTTATTCTAATTAGGATCCCATTTTTGTGTTGAACATGATATGGAGTTATACTAGTTGTGTATTCATCTATGATCACGGGAAATTTATGTCTGATTCATTCTACTGTCTTTCCTATTCCCATCCCCCCTACCTTCCTTTCATTCCTCTTTATCTAATCCAATGAACTTCTATTCTTCCCTTCCCTCACCCCTTATTGTGTGTTAGCATCCATATATAAGAAAGAATGTTCAGCCTTTGATTTTAGGGGATTAGCTTATTTCACTTAGCATGACAGTCTCCAGTTCCATCCATTTACCAGCAAATGCCATAATTTCATTCCTCTTTATGGCTGAGTAATATTCCATTGTGTATATGCACCATATTTTCTTTATCCATTCATCAGTTGAAGGGCACCTAAGTTGATTCCCTAGTTTAGCTATTGTGAGTTGAGCTGCTATAAACATTGATGTGGCTGCATCATCGTAGTATGCTGATTTTAAGTCCCTTGAGTGTATACCAAAAAAGTGGGATAACTGGGTCAAATGGTCGTTCCATTCCAAGTTTTCTGAGAAATCTCTGTACTGTGAAGCCCATCTCTTTACCATGTCCCCACCATCAGCTTCTGTTACTTCTAAAACCTGCCTCTTGGACTCAATCTCTGCCAAGACCCTTGGATACAGCCTGCCATGCTTCCCTCTCAGCCCACAGAGTGGCTGTGCCTGCCACCTCTCACCACCTACCTCTTCTTTCCTAGTGAACAGCAGCAAACACATCGTCAGGAAGTTCCGCGGGCACCTGCGCACCAAGATAGAGTCTGGGGAAGGCACAGTCCCTGTCCGGGGCCCCAGTGCAGTCCAGACGTGGGACGGCATCCTTCTGGGGGAGCAGCTGGTCACCATGTCCTGCACGGACAAGATCGCCAGGTAAGAGCCCGCCTGGCCATCCTCTTCCAAAAGTCAGCTGTGGTCCCCAGTGGGGACAGCAAAACAGCAGGCCCTGACCCACATCCCTGTCCTGAGCGAGCTCAGAGAAACACGGTTCCTGCCACGGGGGACCTAGAGCCCAGCGCCTTTCTTCCACAGGAAACTCACATCCTCACACTTTTTATTGCATGTGCTTGAAGTAAAGCTGCCTAGAGAGAGCAAGCACCTGGCTTCAGACAAACACCACCCCTGGCTTGGGCCTGCCATTCCTGAATAGTCTAGTCATTGTTCGAATGGGCCACACAATCGCCTGGGACGCAACGGGCGCTTGCTCCTCCAGCCTCTTGCTTTTCACTAAAGCCTGACAATCAGCCAGGGAAGGATGTGGACTTTCAGCTGCAAGAGAAGCCACTCCCCCTGGACCCAGAGATATATTCATTCTAGAAGTTTCAAAGCCCCCAAATACTAGTCTCAGAGAGGGAGAAACCGCAGGGTGAACAGGAGGAGGAGGAATTTGCAGAAAGGGCATCTCATCTCCCTCACAGAGAGCCTGCTAGTTAGTGACAGGCCCCAAGCCAGGCAGGCACGGCCCTGCTCTCCCCACACCTTGTTCTGATGCCCAAGATCTGTTTCTCCACGCTCCCACCCCCAACTTCAGTTCTGACACCCCGCGGATGCTGTCCCCACTACAGGATCATTTCTGTGACTTTGGTTTAGAAAGTAGTCACAGGGTGGGGAAGAGGCACAGGAGCTGGAGTCTGCCTAAAAGAGCCGTAACCCCATCCAAAGCCATTCCTGAGGACAGTAATGACAAGTGGTCATGGAACACCTAAGCCAAGAGTGACTCCAAAGGCCTCTTGGATACTTGGATAAATATACTGACCTGTAGTTTATAACCCAAGGAAAACAGGATTGCATGCAAATATGGTCTCTAAGCAAAGGCGCAACCCCCAAATGCTAACTGCCTGAAGACCCACTGCGTGGACATGTTTGAAACTACTCAGGAGGTGAGAAGGATGGTCTCACAGAACACAGGAGGAAAGAGGCTGGGGAGGAGACAGGGAAAATGAAGCCCAAGGAAAACCAAGCCCACTATCTTAGCAAAGACCATGAGGTCCTCAGCTGCCCATCACCACTGCAGGATCTGGGAATGGAAGGGGAGCATGGGTCATCCCTCACAATCCCCAGTCCAGTGCAGCCATCCCAGGTGTTCCCCAACAGAGAGATGCCCCAGAACATCCTGGGAGCTCGACTGACCGAATGAGGCTCTTCACCTACTAAAAACTAAAGAGCTGATGTACTCACTCTGGAGAAAAGAGCAAAAGCCGGAGGGTTAGAGAGATTAAGTTCCACTTGCAATCACAGGTGGGGACATCAGGCAATGTGAGAAAGCACAGAGCCAAGGAAAGAAGTAGCATTGCCATCCCGGAGGACAGGGGAGACCCCAGGGCTTCCTCTTTCTACCCCTGCCTTCGGCTCTACCATAGACCACCATCTTAGTGGCCTCTTGGAGGCTTTCTGAGGCTACAGGGCAGATGAAACATCAGCCCCAAAGAACTGTGATTCCAAATTCTCGTGGGAAATTACCGAATGGCTACAGGAAAAATAGTGCCATTTACTTCCCTGGCTTTGATTGCTCCTGGCTCGGCAGAGCAAGAAGACGGCCTAATGACAATAAATCAAAGCACTGATTTCTGTATCAAAGGGAACAGCCCGTAGTCGTCAAATAGCTCATCTTTCAGAAGAAAATGTATTCCTCCTTTGTAATGTTTTCATCTATTCATGGAGAGAAAGAAAAAAAGCAGCAATTTTCACTTTAACAGAAATTCTCTTGTGCCCTAAGATAGCATTGGGTTTCTAAATTAACTCTCTGACTCCCCAGAAAAATGAAATAAATTAATGCTAGAGAAATGAAATGAAATTTTGTTGTCTCTGGGATCTTAAACATCAATAGACAGTAAATTAAACAGGGGCTACAAAACCCAAGCTTTATTTGCTGGTGGTGGGGTTATCCATGGTAGTACAGACCCTCAAAAGTCAGGTTTTTCTTTTTTTTTAATAAAAATCTCTTGAAAAATGAAAGTCCACACTGCACCACCCTCCGGGGGTTTTCAAGCAGTGTCCTGCCTGGGGAAAGATTCTAGACTGATTCTGGAAGAGAGTACAAGTCTGGGACATCCTGATGTCCCCAGTCTGGCTGGCTGAGGGGAGACCTCCCCCGAATCCCCCAGGGTTAATCCACACCTACCCCGCGGGGTGGGGTTCAGTAGCTGCCTGGTCTCTTCCAACTCACTTAGACCTTCATCCCAAATCTAGGTAGTGGAAGCAGGACAGAGGGCACAAAGGAGGGGGGAAGAGGTGCCCACAGACCTTGAAGATGCCCCTCACCCGCTTGCTCCCTCCCCAGAGCCCACTCACCCACCTGCCTACTTCCATGCTTTGCTTTGTCTTCTGCCTGGCCGCAGTACTTTCTCTATTCGCCATCATTTCTCTTCTCTCTCTGTCTCTCTCTCTCCCTGCCTCTCCCTCTCTCTGTCCCTGTCTCTCTCTCTCTCCCTCACTCTTTCTCTCTCCCTCCCTCCTCTCTCTTTGTTCCTCCTCTCTCTCTCTCTCTCTCTCTCTCCCCCTTCTCTCCCATCCGTCTCTCTCTCCCCTCGCTCCTCTGTCTCCCTCCCTCCCTCCTTCTCCATCCCTCATCTTCCTCCCTGGCTGAGCCCATCTCCTCTCTGCTCCACTCACACTCTACTACTGGATCCTCCTGAGACTCTCCTACTGCCTCCCTGCCTCTTCCCCACTCAGGCCACTCTCTTTCCCTGCCCAGATGCAACATCCCTCTCCTCAGGTCCCACCCCCATCACCATGTCCTGTCTCCTGCACTGAAATTGCAGGAATTTGTTTTCCAAAGCGTTTGCTTCTGTGCTGAGCTGTGACCTTCAAGGGATGGTTCGAATGCCACTTGATTTGCATGGTATCTGTCACAGTGAGATGCACACGATGGCCCCCAATAAACAGTATTTGTTGGTAATGATGATGAAGACAAGGCAATGGTGACCATGACAATGACAGAAATAATGCCACCCGCTCCCAACAGTCTGGTCTGGTTCATGCCAGAGTGATTGGCATCAGAACACATCCTTTGGCGTGGACTTACTTGTGCTCCCGCCATAGTCAGAACCTGAGCATAAGACAAGGATGTGAACGCTAAGGCATGAGCTATTTTGAACAGAGGCACATTTGCCATTTTTGAGTGGGAACATATGTTATGCTAATGATTCAAGACCATAAGCATCTGTAACATGCATTATTTGTACAAAGGCTTTGCAAAGAGCCCATCTGATAATGGATGTGCTCATCTGCTTCCTGTCCTGTACAAAAACAAAAATTCAACCTCAGGCTTAAATAATGTTCAAAAATAAAGGACCTTCATACACAAATACAGAGGAAGCCTTCTAACTCAATGAATTAATAATAGCACTCGATGCTCTTTGGAGAGTGAGGCTCTGAGGACACAAAGACACAGGAGTCACAGTCCATGGAACAGCAGGGGTGGTACACTGGCTCTAAAGACCACACACAGTATATGATGACTGAGCCTGGAACAGAGGCATCCTAGAACCAGCTAGGCCTGAGAGGGGATTACTGAATCTCCAGGCAATTTTGAAACTGCAGTCATTATTAAAAATGATATTACATAAATTTACAACTAACTGATTATACTAAAACAAAAGTAATAAATCCTCAAAACACACCTGGCCTAATTATCTTACTATTATTTATGCCCTTGAAATTATTTACTCCTATTATATCTGTATGGGGAAACACAAATAAGCAATGTGCTTCTCTTCTGCCCAAACTCTTTCCCTCTTCCCAAATCTGCACTCAGCACCCTTGCAATGGTGGCTTGGAATTGTCCACAGCTGCATTATTTACACTGTGGAAATTAGCAAAGGCTACAACTTTATTTTTTTATGTATATATTTTTAGTTTATTTTGTTATTTAGTTTTTTACGTGGTGCTGGGGATCAAAACCAGTGCCTCACAAGTGCTAGGCAAGTGCTTTGCCACTGAGCCACAGCCCCAGCCCTATTATTTATTTGTTTGTTTGTTTGTTTATTTTGAGAGCCAATCTTTATCAGCATACCACTGATAACACTGCATGTCAGTTTGGTGAGAGACAGGACGTGTACTCAGAGCCTAGAAATAATGTATTTGAGGCTGTGTGTTGTTAGTGTGTTATCTGTCCTCAGAGGCCTCATTCCCTCTTAGAATTCAATCCTCCTGTCTAAGTTTCCTGTGGGCAGGGAGCCTGTCTTATTTTACATGACATATTCCATAGCTGGCATAGTTGGTGCCTGCATAAATTAGGCACCATGAATATTTATGGGAGAAACATACAGGTGGCTGAAAAGGAAGATGAGAGAATGGATCCATGAGAGACCGAGTCCCACACAGGCAGTAGGGTGTTGGCGCCCTCTCCAGCCGGTGCCTAAACTGCTTTGCTGAGCCGAAAGGGAGCCTGTCATGGTCAGCAGTACCATACTAATACACAGTATTAGTACATAATAATACATGAATAAAATTGTAATTTTAATTAAGATAGGATAAGTACAACAATACCTGTGTTGGCCCTTGACACTGACTGCACCAGCCCTCAGAACCAGCCCATCCGTTAGCAGGTGAACAGGGCTGAAAGCCACGTGGGGAGGGTGTTCTAGTCACCACAGGGGGTCCAAGGCCAAGGGAAGGGCTGATTCTGACTCTGAGAGCCTTTCTGTCTGGTCAAGTCACGCACACTGGACTCTTGACACCCCTCTCATGGTACAAAGGCATACATGGGGTCAGTCATCAGCAAATATTGACTGATGAATGAATGAGACTTATTCCTCCATCAGAACAGCCCAGACACATGAGAGAGTGCAATGGGGAGCTAAAATTTAAAACATTTAACTTCCCACCAAGGCTGAACTGCTATCTGTGCTGCCCAGAGACTTTTTAGCAAC